ACAGTTGTTGAAGGCAAAACTATCACTTTATATTGTGAAGCCACAGGAAGTCCATCACCAACGATAGCTTGGGTTTTCAATAATATTGTTTCAAAACATGAGGTAAGATTTTAATATTAAAATATGTATATTAGTCATGGCAAAACTCACGTTTTGAATAGGCATTAATTTATCTTGGGTGGTCCTCATTTCTGCTGAAGCTCATTTTATCAAGGACATTTGGGTTCAGATCAGGGGTGGGTTCCTGCTAGTTCTAACCTCTTCGATAGAAGAGGTTCCACAAATCTACCATGCCGTTTAGAACTGGTTCCAGCTCCCTCCCCCTGCCTGTCTGCACCACGCTTGCCCCGCCCGCTCCTCAATGATTGGCTGGCTCACCAGTCTCCCCGCCCTCCTCTAAGAGTCCTATCTAAACCTTAAAGTCTTAAAGCTGTCAAATTTGAACACCCCTTGGTTTTTTTCTAAAGGGTGAGGGGTACAAGGGTCTTGTAACTTGACAGCTTTAAGACTTGCGTGCTTCAAATGCTAGAGTTTCTGAGCCAACATTTTGGTTGCTAAGCAAGAGCGTTGTTAAGTGAGTTTTATCATATTTTACAATTTGGCCACACCTACCCAGTCACATGACTGCCAAATCACTCTCACTCGGTTACATGGCCGGCAAACCACTCCCACCCAGTCACATGGCCGGCAAACCACTCCCACAACGCAGGCCACACCTACAGAAGAGGTTCTAAAATTTTTTGAAACCCACCACTGGTCCAGATATAACTTTTTCAAAAGAGAATGCATAACTACCTGCTTCAGAATGGATGGCATTATACCTTTCCTTGGGGAAATGTTAATTTTCTCCTGAAATCATCTAGATATCTTGCTTTGCTTCTTAAGGAGCCAGGAAGGACATAAACAAGCTAGATAATGAGGAAAGTCAAATTACCCAAACCCTTTTCTACTCCCTTGGGCTCTACAAACCTATAGTATCATACCGTGTTTACCACAATGAATGCTGTCCAATTGCCATCCAAGGGGAACTGGGCATAATAGATTATCTGCAAAGAGGTCCTCAAAACAAGCAGTGTGTATACGGTGCTTGTTCCATATTAGTAGTGAATAAGGTTTTTGAAAGTGTTCTTATGTAAATTAGTTAAGTACATTTGTTGGTATTAATAGTATGCATAAAATCATACGCATTCAATGGAAATTCTCTAAGCCTGTGTATGTCTTTGTATTCCTTCTAGAGTGACACAAATAAGAACCCTGCTTCTTTTACTATAAAGAATGTCTCATCAAGCGACAGTGGCATACAGATTTACTGTATAGCAGAAAATACTGTGGGTGAAGACCAAGCTTCTGTCGACCTCACCGTGTTCTGTATGTAAATAACTTTAGACAAAATTTTCATGTAGAAAATCGTTGCCTAATGAAAAAAAATGGGAATTAACATTTTGGAATTTATGCTGAACTTTTTCCAGAGAGAGAGATCGTTTATAAAATAAATATTTGAAAGAAATTAGTTAGGTTGAATAGAATAGAGCTGGAGGGGCCTTGGAAATCTTCTAGTCTAGCCCCTTGCTCAAGCAGGAGAACCTATACTAGTGATGGCTAACCTTTTTGTCGAGGTGTGCCAAAAGCAGGGGGAGTGGGGGGGGTCGCACACGTGTATGCCCACACCCATAATGCAATGCCTTCCCAACCAGACATGTGCGTGCACACACACACACACACAAACCGCACATGCGTGCAGGTCTCACTGAAGCCTCCGGAATTCCAGTTTGCTTGTTGGGCTGTTTTTCGCTCTCTTCTTCCCTGAAGCCTCCTGAAGTATCCGGACAGAGAAAAACGGCCCAACAGGCAACACAGAAGTTAGTTCCTGAACTTCGGGTGGGCCCCATTGGGCCGTTTTTCACCCTACCCAGGCTTTAGGGAAGCCTCCTGAAGCCTGGGGAGGGTGAAAGATGGCCCAACACGCAAACTAAACGTTTGGGAAGAAACTTCAGTAGTCAACAGAGGTGGTATGGGTCCTAGTCTAGCAACTCTTCTTCTAGCTAACTTTTTAATTATACGCAATCAAGATTACTTTCTGTAAGCCGCCCGGAGTCCTTCGGGATTGGGCGGCCTATAAATAAAATTAAACTTGAAACTTGAACTTTCAAATTTCATTCCTTCTATCTTTCTGCTTGTGTCTTAGCTTTATTTGAACAAGCTGACTGATTGTCAAAGAAGAGAATACATAAAAGACTCAGGTTATTTTTCTCATTGTTCTTATTATAGTTGCACCAAATATCACATTTCTTGAAATACCATATTCGGACCATCACTGGTGCATTCCATTCAGTGTGAGGGGAAATCCACAACCAGTCTTGACATGGCTGCACGATGGGGCTAAACTGAATGAATCAGAATATATCTGGACCAAAATACATGTTACTAATCGGACAGAATATCATGGCTGCCTTCAGCTGGACAATCCTACTCATGTCAACAATGGCAATTATACTTTGGTGGCACAGAATCAATATGGAAAAGATGAAGCCAACATCTCTGCTTATTTTATGGAAGATCCTGGAGGTAGTAAGTAATAATATAATTAAAACATTGTTGAAGCTTTAAGTAGGTTTTTTAAAATATATGCAGTATATAATGGCAGCATTAGGTGATGACATCACTAAAAAGCAAACATCTATTTACTTGCAAAAGTAAAGTTAATTTTAGTCCCGTACTATTAAGCTAAAAGGTCAGATGATTAAAATGCTAAAAAACAAAGATATGCAAATATAATCTTCCTTTGAGTGAAAAGCCTTAACTTTCCATGATGACTTAAAGCAGTGGTCCCCAACCTTGGAAACTTTAAGACTTGTGGACTTCAACTCCCAGAGTTCCTCAGCCAGCAAAGCAAAATTCTGGGAGTTGAAGTCCACAGGTCTTAAAGTTGCCAAGGTTGGAGACCACTGGCTCAAAGTATTTCTGCTTAAGATCTTTAGCCAATAATAGAATACTCTTATATGGTTAAATTCATAATAACAATAATATTTTCTTGTTTTCAATATTGCAGTACAAGATTAAAAGTACATTACTGCCACTAAAGGGAGCATTTTCCATCCATTTGCTTGCTTAACTTTTACTTTCTTTTTTTCATCAGTCACCAGGGTCTGCTTTTAGTCACTGATTAGATCAGATGGATTTAGCATAATTTCCTCAACATGAAATTACTGTTTTCCTTTGAATAAAAACAATTAAGTCTTCTTTTCAGATATACTTAAAGCTAATTGCATTTCTTATATTTATCTGTGATTTTAATTAAATGTGATTTAAGTCATATCATCTTTCTTTTTTATCACTACTGCTAGCAAAATTATTAATCATAGGCAACTCTTAAGAATGCTGGGATTTTTTTGTTTCTTCTGTGAATAGATCACATAATCATAGTGGTGGAATGGTTTATAAATTTGCAGTACTATGGGGATGCTTTAAAAAAAAGGTAGATTAATTGACTAGAGGTTGCCTCGCTATGTGTTGTAATACATTTGGAGAAAACCAGCTTGGGGAAGGCTGGATAAGATTTTTTTTCTTCCCCTCAAGAAAAAAAAATGGCAGTACATAAAGAGAAAAGAAATAAAAGTGGATTGAATGAGGACAGGAGATTTCTCTTATTTTCTTTATCTTGCAACTTATAAGAGTATAAGGATAGAATAGTGCTTTATGCCTAATGCCAAGTGAAGAACACTAACCGAAATGATGCATATAATTTATTAATGGCTTTATTACTCAACTTAATATATCTTTAACTTTAACAAAACCTCCTTGACTTCTGAACTTAGAACAGTTCATGCATGGAATGTAATTATCCCTAATAAGAAACAACAATAGATTATTTCAAATTTTGTAAAGGCATGTTCTCTGTTCCCCATATTGTATTTTTCAAGCATAATAATAAATACTGTGACCTGGATCTTGTACAGAGAATGATGGCATCTTGGGATAGTTGTCAAATATTTGATATCCTAGAAATGTGCTTGTGCAAATAGTTTGGGATTCAGATAGTTTGGGATTCAGAACAGAACAGAAAAATAGAGTTGGAAGTGACCTTGGAGGTCTTCTAGTCCAACTCTCTGATCAAGCAGGAGACCCTATATCATTTCATACAAATGGTTGTCCAACCTCTTCTTAAAAACTTCCAATGTTGGGCACTCTCCAATTTATGGAGGTTACTTATTGTTCTTTATAGTATAAGTAAATATCAGCTACTTATGATCTGCCTTAAAGCTGTTCCCGCAGTATTCTACATGGGATGCTCTAAATCATATTTCTTCTTCCAATCTAAGGTATCTTCATTGCCCTACAAAGCAGCCCTATGAGACTTCCTGTGCTGCACAGTTGTGCTTAAAATGGGGGAGAGAGCCCTGAAAGGGGTAGATAAACTTGTACCCAGTGGCCTCACTCCTGCAGGAATATGTTTCAACGTGATAAACATGCCACTCTTTTAGGCTCTGACCTAATTTTAGCATGCCAGAAACTAAAATTCATTTTTTTTGTTATGTAGTTGGATTATCATCCTTTGGAAAGGATATTAGAATAAACAGTATTTGTCCATCTTTTCCCATTATGTAAATAAAGATAAATGTGAAAAGATAAAATCTGCTGTGATTACATTCAAAGTTTTTGTTGCTATTTAAGATGAATACAAATCATTCTTGGAATCTTAGCATGGCTATTGTTTCTTTGCATTGTCATTGTGAATTGTACATTCTGCACAATGAAACATGACAAGTAGACCCACACCCTGGTATTATATTCATTTCCATGCCTACGTGCTAGCATTAAATGTTACTGGATGTTTAATGAGCAGGAATATGCTCCTTGAGATTAGAATTGATTTTATGTCATCATAGAACTGACAAATACTTGAATAACAGTGGGATCTTATGCTTGTATACTCATAGGTCAGTTTCACTGAGTTTAGTGAGGCATATTCTCACTGAATCTTTAAAAGTCTGTACAAAATTGCAGATTTGGAGGGTATAAGGTACATCTATCTACTTTTTAAGTGTAATTATCACAATCAAACTCAGAAGATCAGTTTCATCTCAAAGATGAAAACATATAATGTATTCTAAGATTCTGTACTGACAGAGACAGGTAGTTAATTATTCTAATGTCTGCTATGTAAATATTTCAATAGGTATCCATTAAATCTAGTAACTATGTTCTGTCTGTTAAAGTCTATTGATGCATGTTACTATGAGTAAGAAAATGGTTAGAACTATGCAGATATAAAATAGGTCTATTAAACAAATAAGAGCCTTTTATTGTCAATGGTTTATGGGATGCAGTAAACAATCTACAACCAGCTATTTTATTGTTAGTCCCTGACCAAGAGGAAAAGTGTACAATTAACCCTAAACAGAGTAGTGCAACATAGGAAGGGAATTCATTCTATCCTTCTCCGTTGCTTGGGAGGGTTAAGTGGGGAAAGAAAATAATTTCTAATTTCCCGTAGTATTCCAGAACTTTCATATGCAAGGTTTTTTTCAAGAAAGTATTGGCTTCATTGTACTTTTTAATTATATTTCAAGCCATTTTTAGAATGTTCTAAGGTTGCACCCGTTTTTCATACAAAACTATCACATTGATGTTAGAGAATAATAATACGTTTCAAATATAATTACATGTAATTTTTATTACTAATATTTAAACCAGTTAGTCTTAGAGACAAGTTCATTATCCAGATAATTTGTTAATATAAAATATGTACATAAAACTGTACAGAAGATATATTTTTTGGTCTAGGCACAAAATTCTGGCTTCTGTTCTTCTTCAGAGTAGGTAGTAATATTTTTTTCATTACTATGATTATTGAAATTGTTCCAAAAGTTTCTAGATAAGTAATAGAGGATTAGAATACCAATTTACTTTTAAAATAGGAGACGAAAAATGGTTTTTTAAACAAATGAAAAAAGTCAAACACTTGTTATATTCTTATTTTTTAAAATATGCCTTCTGTTGGCAAGTTCAGATAATTTTTGTGATAACTACAATTAACAATAAAATCACAATTTTTAAAATTTGGAGTAACTCAAAAAGAGAAACGAAAAGATCATCTGGGTCTGGATTCCTCACTGGGATGTATTTATTGTTGCTTTTGGGAATCTTCCCCAGCTTATGTTGGAGAACTACTAAACAGTATATAGGTCACTTAAGTGACAGAAATCTTCTAATGGCATTGGTATGCCCTGACCATTATGCAGTGATTCTTCTATGTGAAAAAGTGCTACCATAAGGCTTCACTAGCACCAAAGAACTGAGTTCTCAAATTTCTGCCAAGTCTTCTAGACCAGTGGCCCCCAATCTTTTAGGCCCCAGGGACTGGTTCCGTAGAGAGGTTTTTCTGAGAACCAGAGTGGGCATGGTTTCACATGCTGCCTGCATCCTGTGGATAGAGCTTTGCTTGATTGCATGGCCCAATTTTTGTCATGCCATGGCCTAGTGCCGGTCCATGGTTGGGGACCCCTAGTCTAGATTCCTTCCTTTCCCAAGGAAGTCAAGACAAAAATAGTCATCAGAAGAAGTCAGTATTAATAAACTAAAGTCTTCCTTTCAGTACCTCCCTTTTTTTCTGGAAAAGCTTCTAGGGCCTTTCCCTTTGAACTTCAAGACCAGGTGGTACAGGTCTTTAGGTAGGCACTTTAGTGTCTCATGAGTAAGCTCACAGAGCTCTTCCTCCACAGAGCAATACCTGGAATGCTGGTTTCCAACCCCAGATGAGACAGAACTTACAGGTAGGCAACCCAGAGTCTCATAAGCAAGCTCGTGTGAGAATTCCTCATAGGCACATAACATATATTATGCTATGCATTTATTTTCTCCAGTGACTAGTAAAATGATCAAGAAATAATTAACATAGTACAAATAATAAGTAAGCTACCTGCATAAGTTGAAACAGGTGCAAAGCAGGGGTGTATGCAAAGCAAGAAGTTGTGTTCTCAGCTCAGAAAAATACAGTCCCACTCAAAACATATGATTGTGTTCTGACAAACAGAAATTGAAATATCTCAAATGTTTTGTCATCTGAACAATCTGAACTTGAAGTAACCCCTTTACTCCCTTGTTTAGTATCCTAGGTGGCGTAGCAGTCTGCGTTGAGTGTTATGTACAACGTGGTGTGCAGAAAAAATGATTTTTAATCTTTTCTTCAACATTATAACAATTTCCAAAACAAATTATGTAAGCAACAATTGTTTCAATGCTTTCTGTAGCCAGTGCTTGCACAACAGCCACAGAACTGATCTCAGCCAAAGAGTGACACCAGTAGATGAATTTCAGCACAACCCCTTTATCATGTCACAACAGCAAAATATATGCTTTTTCCCCCTTACATAATATTTCTGTAAAGCTCTCCATATAACTAAAGCAATGTAGTGCTTGCATTTGACAGTGTGAAAACTGAAAAACAGAACAATATTATCTGTACAACATATACATCATGCACATTTCTACACTTGGCAGTGTGCCTAAAAAAGGAAACAAAACATATGACACATTGGGCAGCTACATAACTTAAAACTCAATTTCAGTTTCTTCACAGCAAAGAATGTAAAACAATAGGAAATTTAACTATCAGGAAATGAGAAGTCTTTTTTCTATGTGCAGTTGGTTGGCCTTTCCAAATGTCCTCAGCTGAACAGCACATAAAATTAGAGGTGGTACACTCTATGTAAGTGAGTTAGTGATGGGGCCTAGCCACGTCAACAGTGCCAATTAATGAATGTTGTGATAAACTGTAAGTGCCTGGCAGTCTGGAGGGTAAGGCTAGGGTTTGATATTTAATCACCCTCAATTGGCTGTTTAGGAAGTCCAATAGCCAATATGTACATGTACCAGGAAAATAGTATGCACTGTGTACCAATAAGTTGCAATAATTGAATTGAATTCTCCTCAAATAAAGAACCACTTCTGAGTTGGGAGCATATTTGAGGGAATGGAGGGAACTAAATGTAGAAGCATAATTAAAGGTAAATGAAAAACACAAGAGGGATAGGAATCCCTTTCCCACCTTCTTTCTTCTTAACCTCTTGATTCACTAATTAATTAACCTACACAGTATGATTAACTTTGGAGCATACGGTGGGAGGGCAATTGTCTAGGCAAGCAACAGTACATTCATCTATGAATTTCAGTCTCAAAATCTGACTATAGTCTTTACTTCTCTCTCCATTCCAGGAGCAACATTCCAAAGTGGCTTCAAATCTTTTGAGCATGTGACTTTCACTCTATCTTATCCTCTCCTTAAGTAGTTGTGCCTATTATTTTATTATCTATGCACTTTCCAAGATTTCTATGTTTTTAAGGAAATTAAAAACAAAAACAAGTGTGGTATGTTGGAACACTCAAAAATTGAAACAAACACCCCACTTTGTTCCAAGCTCAGAACATAGCACTAGAATATGGTGGGTTTTTTTCCAGAACTTGGAATGTTCCAAGCTAGGATACCTTTCTAATGCAAACACATGTTACATGCTTGGGTTTATTTGTTCATCAGATAATTGGGAGTGGGGTGTGAAGACAGGCTTCCCAAATTAGGCTAATCTTGTGACAGTAACATTATAGAAGAAAAATGTCTTTGTTGATCTTCAGTAAAAAGTGATTTTTTTTCTTGACGCAGATGTTGATTTTATGGACTGAAAATATTTTATTTTCAAGCTTAAATTTGCACAGCAGATTTCAAATGAATGACCAATTTTTTTTAAAGTATAATGTACGAAACATGTTTAGTATCACAACCTTCCCTAACATGGTATCTTCCTAAATATATTTTACTATAGTTGTCAGCTTTTATTAATTGTGAATTATGGAAATTGTATTACAACATACTTGGAAGGCACTAAGTAAGGGAAGCTGCATTAAGGAATGGTGTAGAACTATTCAGACTGTTGTATTATTTTCTTTCTTTCAGAAAAATATTGTTTTATACTTATAGATTCTCTGATAGAAATGATCCCAATTAAAATCTGAATTCTAATTTTATGAAAATTGTTGAATTAGTATATTATCAAAGTGAAATCCATTTGTGGAGTAAATCTGTGGAGTAAATATTGTCTCCCTACTACAGTCCTCCTTCATGCACTTACTCCCATCATGGAGTATAGAGTGTCATTCCAGATCTGAGTTCAGGCAAGGCCTGCAGTAGGGAGAAATAATTAGGAATACTTTGCTATGTGTAAAAGGGATCACTTTTGGTTTGGGATTTTGCTTCCATGGCCAGGAAAATTTAGAATTAATAATTTGCTTCTGGCAATGGTAAACTCAGTTCTGCGTTAAATATAAAGTAGTTTGTATGCCTAAATGTGATGCCATTACACAAGTTGTTTCTGTTAACTATGCCGCTATGATATATTTCTTTTTCTTTCTGTTCTGTAGGTAGTCCGTTCTATGATCATCCTGGTTACATTGGTATATTTTCATTTTCTATTTTATATATATATCTCTCTATATAAATATGTACATGACATGTAATAATTAAATGTTTGAAAGACAAGATAGATGTTATACTCTGATGTGATTTGCATGCTGTTTAAATATCACTAGAAATATTTATGTTAGGCATGATTCAGCCACGGTTAACATTTTTAGTATCATTAATTTGAACTTTGGAGATGTTGACATATACTTAATCCTTTCATTAAAAATGATGGTGCTATCTTGCTGATTTCTCTAAATCAGAATAGTTTTTGCAAATGAAGGTGGATATGCACGTCCCAGGATAATGTTGCAAGATCCAATCTGGGTTGGTCACCTGGACTACAGTTTTTTTGTCTTCCAGCACAAGTCTGAAATCTTGGAAGACAAAACCTCTAGTCCCGGTGGCCAACCCAGATTGGATCTTGAAAAATAATTTTCTTCATTATATTCATTTAAAATGTCATGACATCACCAGTGGTTCACCTCGAAATGCTTTGGCAAAGATATAATTATGCAGTAATAATAAATTCATTGTGATACAATATTAAAAAAAATACCCATTCCAGTTTCTTAGTGTTCATAGAGAGGTCATTGTAATTTTTATTTTTTATATATATTTTGATCAATCTTGACAACAAATCTTGTTTTATTTTTGAGATCTTAATGCCCCTCAACCCAAAGAAAAAACATACTGAATTAGCATGAGAGAATCCATTTTTTAAAATTATTATTATTTTTTTATTATGCAATTTCTGAGATAATCCATTTTTTATTTGTTGTTATTAATTTCAGTGCACAATATGGAACAAAAATTGTACGACGTATAGTGAGCTATCCAATGTTATTAATAAATAACAAATTAATATATTTCTCAGAGCACTGTTTAAATTTCAAAGTGCTTTGAATTTTCAGTTTTTTATACAAATTTTGTCTGGAAACTTTATCATCATTTCCTTTTATATGAAGAAAGTTAAGGCTTCAATCCTATACATATTTATCTGTAAGTAGGGGTTTTTAAAGAAAAACTTTGCTTACTGAGAAATGGCACAACCATCTAAACTAGTGGAATTATTTTAAAGAATACTAAATAGTTCTCAATTAGTTTTGGAATCCATACTTTTATTTCATAATAAAATTGGACTGTTTCCTAAGATCAATAAACTATTTTTTTCTTTCACATGCCTTTATATTATTCTAATTATTAAGAAAAAATTAATACAGCGTAATTACAATCTAACAATTTTTCTACTAACTGAAGGAAAAACTCATCTTAATTGATTTGCATTGACTGAAGACTGAAATCCGATATCTGCTCAAGCTTCTCATTTAAAGACTAATAATACTGTATGTAGGACTCACATACTAATTAAAAGTGCAGTGATATTATTAGGCACATATTTTAAGTTCTATCTTTTTGTATAATTGCATTCATCCTTTTGAAAGTCCATCTTAAACAATGTTTCTATACTCTCTTATGTGCTGCCAAAGTAGGAGAGCTGCTTTATCCTGATAAATAAATACATATTTTTAATTGTGAATTAGTCAGACTAAAAGTTAAAGGAATATGGCTTTATTCCATATCATTAAAATTGTATTTATTGAATTATAAATGATTCACAAAAAGATTCAAAATTTATAAAACAAAAGGAATAAACAACAAAACTACTATAACATAGACCTCTTTCTTTCAGGACTTCAGCCATCCATTCTTTTCTCCCTAATCTCAGTTTTCATTTCTTACCCCCTTTCTATCCCCTTAATACTTAGTTAGCATTCCAGGGACATTGAATAAAGGATCACAGGTTGCTTTGGGTTTCCCCTGCTTTTCCGTAGTGCTAAAATTAATTTGCTCTGTAATATTTTTGGAAAGTGATGGAAACCAATAGAAATTGTGCTTTATAACAGAAAATAGGCCTCATCTGAAATAGGTTTTAGTAAGACCTTTAATACATTTCCCCCTATTAAATCTAGCAGCATTGCATTTATATCAACCATTGCTCTCTCTTACAATTATCTTCATAGCAGAACATAAGAAAGTCCTTTCCCCCCATTGGCTGGGCGCATTTTGCAATCATCACACAATGGAGTTGTGGTAGAACTAGGTATGTGAAGGGATCTCATGCATATTGGACTCCCTAGACAACAAATGTTGGACAAATTCAGGAAACAGTTGCACTTTCTTTTCTCCAGTGAAGCGACTGAATTTTATTTTTTACTCTAGTGGAATGCAGATTTGATCAATAAGTAATTACCCTTTAAGCTGGCAAAACTTCATTAAATTCAGTGCTAGAATTCTAATTTAAATAAGAGAAAATAACAACATATACACTGTTTTGGTTCTTTAGTTCTGAACCTTTATAGTTTTAAATATTTTAACAGCCCAACAAATTTCATCTTTGCGGTGGTTTATTAGAATAGAATGGGATGGAATGGAATAGAATAGTATAGCTTTATTTGCCACACAAGCCAACGTGTGATTGGACACACAAGGAATTTGCCTTTGATGCATATGCTCTCAGTGTACATAAAGGAGAAAAAGAAAAAAAACTTATCAAGAATCATAAGATACAACACTTAGTTATAGTCATAGGTTACGAATAAACAAATCATACTAGGAAAAATGTCTTTTAATGATTAAAATACAGTATAGTAGCAATGCATATTAAAATATTATCTAAGATTTTATATTTCTAGATACTTGATATTTTTATGCTATTAAGTGTGGTGAAACATGTTTTCAGATTGTATACAAAAATTAGGAAAGTTCTCTTCTTAGAAGATGAGAGGAAAGGGGAGAACAGTTGGAGTGTAATATTTGTTTGGATTTACAGAGGGCTAATATCACATTTAATCCTGATTCAGTGTTAGGTAGAAGCTCAGTTAGTTTCATCGACTTCTTTTTCTTCCTCCTTCCCACCACCTCCCCAAACTGTCAAAAGTTATATTAAAATAGTTGCCAGCAATGCAAATCAACTTGCTAAAGGATAAATGATAGGGAACAAGATCTTTCAGAAAAGTAAAAATGTTTTATATAGTTTGGGAGGAGAATGACATTACATAAAGTGATTCCCTAATAATAAAACAAAGAATGCATATGAGTAAAATTATTAGTTTTGCTCAATCAGTTTGGATATATCATTCTCTCCCACCCCAAAAGTCATTAAAATTATATAAAAGAATGAACTCAAGCTGTATAATTTTAAAAGTGTTATATACAAAACATTTTGCATGGTACCACCTGGTACAAAGTGAAACTAAATATTCCCTTCAATGTTTATATAATTACACCAAACATTCTACCTGAGAATCCTTTATTTTTAGTTTTCAGAATTCTCAATCACATGATCAGATATTTCTCCTTGCCCTTTATATTTTGGATTCCTATAAAGTAATGCAACAATTTCCTATTTGTGTCATTCCTTTATAACTCTTGTAATTTCTAGGAAGAGACTTTATTGGAGAAAACTTAAATGCAGGTAGACCAAAACTTAACAACACTTCATTTTATGTTCAAAATTACAACAGCTAAACAACACTAAAAAAAGTGACTTATGACCATTTTTCACCAGAAGAACGTTGCAACATCCCCATGGTCACGGGATCAAAATTCAGGAGCTTGGCAACTGACTCACATTTATGACGCTTGCAGTGTCCTGGTGTCATGTGATCACCTTTTGCAAACTTCTGACAACCAAAGTCAATGGGGAAGCCACATTCACTTAACAACCATGTAGCAAACTTAACTGCAGTGTTTCACTTAACTAATGTAGCAAGAAAATAGGGCAAAACTCACTTAACAAATTTCTCATTTAGCAACATAGATTTGGGGCTCAATTGTGGTTGTAAGTTGAGGACTGTATTAAAAAAAATAAAGAATGGCAGTTTGATGGGACAATAAAGTCCCTAATGTGCCACTGAAACTTCATTTGCATCTTCCTTTGGAATTTTATGACTTTCTTGAACCTTGAGAGGAATTCTGCTTGCTAATTAAGCCTATCAGGATATATTCTTTGCAAGTGTTTAACAGCGTTTGCATGCTTACATTTTTAAAATACATATAGGTCATGGGCTAAATTTCTGACTTCTAGTTTTGGAAGGCTAGGCTGAAAGCCTTTTCCTTTATAAAAGGAATTTCTCACCAGTTTCCACTCTGGTTAGTCAGATAGGGTAACTTGTCTAATACCATCAGGAGCAGATGGGTGTAAAAAAAATCCTAATAGAGACAATACTGGAAACCAATCCTTCTCTCTCCCTTCTCCCTGTTAATATTTTAGGATCTTTACTACCAAATAAAAATCTCCAAAATGTAAATATTGTTTTGCAGATATAACCCTGCAATAGCTAACACATCTATGTAGACTCAAAAGTCACCAGATTGCAGAAGGTTGATTTATTCTCTACACCAGTGTTTTTCAACCTTGGCCTACCTGAAGATGTCTGGACTTCAACTCCCAGAATCTCCCAGCCAGAAGAGCAGAGCTGGCTGGGGAATTCTAGGAGTTGAAATCCACACATTTTCAGGTAGGACAAGGTTGAGAAACACTGCCCTACACCGAAGGAAGAGCTAAGAAATGTTTTGTTTGGAAGATTTGTACAGTGCCATACAAGGGGCCATTTACTACAATCTTCTCATCCACTTGATATTCAAGTCACATCACAGAATTATAATGAATTGCAGGAATTAAAACCATTCCTATCCTGCTTGGAGGATTAAATAATTAATCCTGATTTTAAACAGGTAGTATTCCTCACAGTACTGTTATTATTATGACACACCTAGACCAAGGAGAGACTAATCTCTGAATTTAAGTTCTCTCAAGTTCTCATTTGTGCAGTCTTAATTTTGTTTCATCACATTTCTGTATCAGTTGAAGAAATTTCAAAGAAAATTAATGCGACCATTATTGAAGAGCTTTTCAAAAAAAAAATTATTTTGTCTTTCCAAATTCCTACACGAATTAATTTTTTTCCATATTGCATGGAATATTAGCTGGAAGTAGATTTTTTGCCAGTGTGGAATGTTTTTGCATTATGCAATAATTTAATTTTTCTTGTATTGATATATTTTGTTATATTTCATCTTAAAAACTTCTCAGATTTACTACATTAAAAATATCCCCACATCTATTAAAATCTTTGTATTTCGCTTGAAAATGGGTTCCTTTTTCAGATGTAAATGTATGTTTGTATGTTTATTATACTTGTATGCCGCCCTATTCCCAAGGGACTCAGGGCGGCTAACAAACAAGTGGGGAAGGGGGAGATACGAAAAACAAACAAGACAAAAACAAGATCCAAAAAACAGATTAAAAGCTACACAACAATCACAACAATTCAAGTGGGGCTGGGAACTCATCAGCCCCAGGCCTGCCAGAACAGCCAGGTCTTGACGGCTTTGCGGAAAGCCTGAAGGGTGGTGAGGGTCTGAATCTCCACGGGGAGATCGTTCCAGAGGGCTGGAGCAGCCACAGAGAAGGCCCTCCCCCGAGGGGTCGACAGTCGACATTGGCCAGCTGATGGTATTCGGAGGAGGCCCAATCTGTGGGATCTAATTGGTCATAGGGAGGTAATTGGCAGGAGGCGGTCTTTCAAGTACCCAGGTCCGATACCATGTAAAGGTACACAGAGAACCCACAATCAATGGCAGATCAGAAGCATCAGAAAAAGCTAGGGAATTTCAGTTGTGTCAGACAGTCATGGGTGTTTCCACAGCTTTTTTTACAGATATCTCCATTTTGTCTAGTATTCTGTCCCATAGTACATATGAGTGTAGCTTCTCTCCCTCCCTTTAAATATCTGCACATCTCTTCCATTCTTTCCTGTAATCTTCATTCTGAATTCACGCACTGTAGTCCTAAACAGGTCATATAGCAACGTGGCAAATAAGTAGACAGAATTGAATAGTGTGTTCCTAAATCTTTGCAAGTTTTAATTGTAAGTGTTTAGCTATTTTAGCAGAAACCCCAAAAAACTTTATAATACTTAAAAGAAAATAAATATGTTCTTTCTCTTAGAAGATTATGGAACACCAACAAATGATTTTGAAGACACTACAAATAATAGTAACCAAGTTACTTCTACGGATGTGTCAAACAAAGACAATGAAGATAGCATCACTGTAAGTATAAACATGATTTCCTGGTTTGTAATCACACCAGACTTTCTGACTAAGAATCTAGTTGGCCTAGAATATTTTAGCTTGCAAGAAGACATTAATTTGCATGTACCCTGGAGCATTTAGCTGTGGTTTTGTAACCTGAAGCAATTTTTTAAGGACAAGCTGGTCAAATTTAGACATAACATTATTTACATAATTTGATTCATGCATTTCAGCTGATAATAGGAAATGGTGGCTCCCAAACCACAAGAATGCAGCTTTCATTTACTCATTGAACTTGTTTTCTTTAGCATGAAAAATAAAGCATAACTGAAAGGCTGCAGTGCACCCTTAAATAATTGAAATGACTAGAAAGTTGGCACATCTTGGTTTAAAATCATGTTCACATTTCCTTCGTTTAATTTTCTCCAGCATTGTGTCTTCCTCCTGACCTTGGATTACACTCTCCAGATGTTTATGCTTTCATTTTACTACTAAGATCGGAGTTCTGGTACTTGTAGTCCAAGCACATTTAGAAGGTGTCAAGTTAGAGACTAAAGTTCTGCCTTAGGCACAATAATAACAGGATGTCCTTGGCCCAATCACGTTCTCTCAGTCCTAGGAAGGAGGCAATGGCAAACCACTTCTGAAAAATCTTGCCAGGAAAACTGCAGGAACTTGTCAAGACAGTCTCTGATAATCAGACATGATTGAATGGAAGAAACACCCCATCAACCCACCCATTCTATATGTTTGAGAATTTTGCCAATATATTATATTAATATTAATAGATAATAATATAATTACCATATTTTTGGAATATAAGACGGACCGGATTATAAGACACAGCAAGATTTTGAAGAGGCAAAATTTTTAAAAAGTTTTGCACTTTGCAGGTCTCCCCAAATAAACAGCCCGTTTTTCGTGAAAACGGGCCCATTTTTTGTCAAAAAAAGAGCATTCATAGCCATTAGGAGGCTTGTAGGGTGCTCCTTGGGGCTGGGGGAGGGGCAAAAATGAGAAGAAAATGGCCCACTTTTTGTTCATTTTTGCCCTCCCCAGGAGCACTCTGGAAGCCTCCTAAAGGCTATGCACGGCCATTTTTGCAAAGGGGACGAGTTTTCAGGAGGCCCAAAATGCTATATGCAATGTATAAGATGCACCCAGATTTTAACCCTCTTTTTTGAGGGAAAAAGGTGCATCGTATACTCCAAAAAATACGGTAATATTTTTAGAACAGTGAAACTTGAAAAAATTGTGCAGTTTGATTTATTATTGCTTGTTTTTTTTCTTAGGTGTATGTTGTAGTGGGGATTGCTGCATTGGTGTGCACTGGCTTAGTTATTATGCTCATTATTCTCAAGTTTGGAAGACATTCTAAGTTTGGAATGAAAGGTAAGACGACTGCTTTTAATTCTTCTTTCCATATGTTTCTCTGCTGATTGTTTTACGTAATTATTTAGACAATTAGAGGCATACATGTTTGTTCTCCTATTCAAAATGGTTATTCAAATTGTTTAAACATGTAAAGGTAACAGTGCAACATTTCTTTTGAATTCCATGATTTGCAGTGGATTGATGTATGGTAATTGGTTCTGACATACAGAAATTATTTTACCTGCAATGCAGGTTCCACTTCACTTGATATATAGTAATGTGTTTTGCAAGAAATATTACAGTTATTTTATTTTTGAATAACTTTTCATATGAAATCTGGGGATTTCAAATGGAACAAGCTCCTTTACCTCAACATTTCCTCAACACCCCCCATTTTCCTCTCTGACCAACCTGGCAATGACCATGTTTCTTCTCCATGCTAACCAGCATTGGTTTTTAATCCATGGATCCTTAAGATAAGGGCATGAAGTCCCATCTCCAGTTCTAAACAGCTATACAATTCTGATCTGATTACATTCCTCCAAGAAAGTAGGTACTGTTTATTCTTAAAATAGACTTAATTGCTATGTAAGGGAGTTCTCCCACTGTAAAAGAACCAGCGTAAGTATAGATAAAGGAAGTAGCATCTCTTTATATGCAAAGAATATACATGAGTCTGTTTTAGGTCCTTCTTTCACCAGTTTTCTTATCATAATGAGCTGACTTTTGTGTCAAGTAAGTTTTAGTTTAAAAAAGAAAAAATATTTTTATTCTCAAGGCTGCAATGAAAGTCAAACTCTCCTGACATTCTTGTGTTGATAAAATCAGCTGAAAACTCACATTGTTTTCACATCTAACATCAAGGTCTTAGCCTAGGTCAGTGGATCTTAAATGAGGGTATATTCTGGGGGTAATTTTCAATTGTTCTTTAAATCAAGGGTCCAATTTGGGACTACCATTGCTACGATGCTTGTGAAAATAATAAGAGTTTATTTCCCCCCCCCTGTGGTAATGACATTATTCAAGTCCAGGAAAAAGGCATTTGCCTGAAACAGTTTAAGAACCACTGTTCTATGTAATTAGTATTCTTTCAGGAATCTGTCAGGTATATGTAGTAAAACTATATTTGTGATTTTTGAAGTTAAGAACATAATGTTACATCTGGAAAGATTTACAGTATTTTGTCCATCAAGCAGATGTGGGCTAACTGTTAAAAGCTAAATATTCTAAATGTTAAATATTCTGATACAAAAATGGCATTTTTCAGAGCATAGAATCCTATTCCTTTTTCATTATTCTTCATGGCTGATTCCTTTCCCTTCAATGCTTCCGGTTCATTTCCTGGCATGTCACTTTTCAGCCCATTGTGGTTACTTTGAATAAATAATAAGAGAAACAGAACTTTGTCTATGTTTCAGAAGGCAGACTCTTGAGTATCATGTCACCTGAGCACATTCCAATTCTATGTCTTTTCTAAGTGTTCCTTGACTCTCTGTCTGTCTCTGTTTCCGTCTTCCTCCCTCCCCCCCTACACACCCCTCATAAACACATATTGCAAGTATATTTATTTGCATAGGGATAGGATCTTGGGCTCAGTGAATATGAAATTATATACATATTCTTAGAACTTTATGTTAGAAAAACAGATGGAAATGGGTGAGTGAGTTGTATCTTTTTCTTAATAAAAATAATGCTTACACATTTCCATGTATACTGCTTTCATTCACACATTTCCAGTAAGCAAGTTCATAATTGAGCCTTTGCTATTGTTTCAGAAGGGTTTGGAATGTGTGAGAACACATTTTAAAAAGGGTCTTTTGAGATCCTTATAGCATCCCTATTTTCCCCCCAGACTTGAACGGCTGTTTATGAAGTTGCTTTGGAGCAGTTTTCAGAACAGCCACGTGATCCTAGAAGAAGAGACATGAATGCTTTAACAATATGAAAAGCGGGGCTTGGTATGTGCTCTCTCGTATTCCAATGCACCTTTTACTAAAGAAATTGAACAGCTCAAGTTATAAAATTCCATTTATTAGGTTACATGGAATCGTTTTTTAGGGTTTTCTCTGATTTGAATATAAAGGAAAAATACACCTTAATATAAACTCCCATTCTTTAGATAAAATATTTTTGTATGTCATGAATCACTTTTTTGTCTAATTCTAAGTACAAGACAGAAGTGATAATAGTTACATAGAAGGAAAAGATTATTTAAGAAGTTGAATTTTTCAGATTTTCTATTTTAGGTTTCTTAACTGGTTTTAAAAGACGACAGAATAAAATCTATCTATCTATCTATCTATCTATCTATCTATCTATCTATCTATCTATCTATCTATCTATCCATCCATCCATCCATCCATCCATCCATCCATCCATCCATCCATCCATCTATCGTAGCTTTAAAAGTTTTACCCTATGCTTACAGTTTTAAAGATATTTTTTAAAAGTCTGGTTTATATATTAGAAATACACAATATGAATTAATATGTGATGATGATCATGATGATGATCATGAAGAAGAACAAGAAGAAAGTCTTTCAAGCTAACAAAAATGTAAACTTCAGGGTTAATTTATAAGAGAGACGTTACCTACTGTAGTTTTGGAATATTTATTTCTTCTTCAGGGTGTAAAACCTATTTAAGATAAATTTTGTAGACAATAGAAGAGCTATATTTATTTTCTAATCAGTGTTAGTGTACTTCCCTTTTGGATTATCTATTTGAATGCACGAATATTGGAGAGAGTCCTTCATATGTATAGGTAAATGCTTAAACACAGCTCTTTGTTGCCTAACAAAGAGTTAATAAGTTTACTCTTGGGTAAATGTGCATAGGAGTGTGATAGGAATTTGAATGTACAGAGTTCTTATTTGCAAAGATTGCTTTATTTACTTCTGCAAATAATATAGATCCATCCTTCATTTCTTATTATGCATAGAGGGGAAATGTCTGTTGTTACTAATGGAGCATATCTTGCAGTTAGCTGAGCTTCTGCTGCCCTTTATAATATACTTGCAGTTTTGAGTATTCTATACTATCTAGATAGTAGGTAAGCAAATCTGATAAAATTCCTGGACCTGCTTTGCCCTCCCTCTTTCCACCCCTGACAATGCCTTGCTTACCTTCCAGAAATCTAGAGCTAGTAGTTTCATATTGCTATAGAAAGGGAGGAATTGAACACCATGTATAGTAATACTCACTGCTGTCAATTCCAATACACTGTCCTTGGAGCAGAGGTGAAATGAATATGGACACCCTCTGTTTATTAGAATATTGATGATGTACCCATGAGTCAGCCATAATGTTTTTCTCTGGTTGGTAGAGAAAATGCTAAGTCTTTTACTCGATTACTTTCAGTGCAATGCTAGATTTATAATATCTTACATTTCATAATAAACCTATAACATGCTAAAAGGTTCTGTCCCCCTACAAAAACAATCCTTCACATGTGCTATCTTTTCATTGAATAACACTGCATGGTGGCATCTTACATATTTCCTTACTAATAAGGATACCCAGTGTCCTATCTCAGATGCGTACACATGCCCAGACTGAATACATCATCATGCTTAACACATTATCATGCTTTTATTCCGGTTAGTGTAACAATAAATAGTGGCAGGAAAGACATGTATGTAGTTGCATGCATAGTCTGAAGCAATGGGCAGAAGCATTTTATATGCATGGTAGACATAGCTCAATATGATGGGTAGGTTGTGAGTTGGTCCAGATTCAAAGGAACCATTTCTATGTAGAATAGAATAGAATAACAGAGTTGGAAGGGACCTTGGAGGTCTTCTGCTTAGGCAGGAGACTCTATACCATTTCAGACAAATGATTATCCAATCTCTTCTTTAAAATTTCCAGTATTGGAGCATTCACAACTTCTGGAGGCAAATTGTTCTATTGGTTAATTGTTCTGTCAGGAAATTTTTCCTGTTTGCAGTTGCTTCAAATGCTCCCTAGCTTTGCTGCCATCTGAGTGTCCCCTGAAGTGACCACATCTCAGAATAAGAGCTGGCCCTGATACCCAGTAGATGGTCCAGTTTTTCAAGAAACTCAAGTTTTTCAGCTTCCTTTTATAAAGACATATTTTTAAAATAAAGAAAAAGATCCAAGTGTTTTAACTTTGAATGGCTCATCGTATTTTGATTTAATACAGTTACAAATTGCCCACAATAAATATAATACTATCCTTGGGGGAAACCCTTTATTCCTTTTATTCAGCCATTACTGCTGACATGGATGTAAATGGTTTTCATAGACAAAAAAAAAAGTGATTTCAGAGTTGTTATATTGAACAGTGCAATCTACAAAAGAACATTTAAAATGTTAAATAAAGATGGTCTGAGTTAAGAAATGCATGTATACAGATGTTTTGGAAGAATTCTAAGAGAATTTGCATTTTCTTTTTTCAAAGATAAATTAAGTTCAGAGTACCTAGTTGTAATTCATTAATGATTCAGAATGGTTGGTTTCCAATTTCACTCTTTCAGTCACTAGACAAATTTCTGTGCCAAGGTCACTGTTTTTATCTTTTCTTCCTTTTACTGAAAGTTCCCCTTTCTGCTGCAGTCCATCCTCTCTGACATTTTGGAAGCATTTAATTATGGAACAAAAATAAAGAAGTTTTTTTTTTATTTTGAGTAAAGAACCAATAGAGCTGTTTGTATTAAAATAATCAGTTAGTACAAGTTATGTATGGAAATTTTCTATTTTCTGCCTGGGGTGAGAAAAAACTTACCTTAAATCAGTCATACAGAGAATAGATAATTGAGATTTGGGCCAGATGCAGTTAGCCAGATCTGTCATAAATTGATAGGGAAAATCAAAGCTTGGCAGCTAGTTGATAAGAGAAACTGGAATTAACTTAGAACTTTTGGTAAATGAAATTGTATGTCCATTAGCTACATATTATGTTTTCTGAGGAAAGACATTTTGTATAATGTCATTTGAGCAGTTTTGAAAGCTTTTAATTAAAAAAAATAACGTTAAACTTGCGCTGCTTACACGTA